GAGTCCAAATGAATGTTTATGCCAAATTTGAAGAAGTTCTGTCAAGGTGTTGCTAAGATATCACGTTCATGAGAATGGGACGGACGGACGGACAACCTGAAAACGTAATCCCTCCGCCCCCGACTGTCGCCGGCGCAGAGACATAAAAAGAAGAAAACTAAAAACTAAAATGAAGCGCTCCAAAGCTCGGGACAGTAAACTGAACCTGAACTGAAAATAAAAATGATTCTTATATTTATCCACAGAATAAAATTCAGACTGAACTGACCAGCATGTGGATGTGATGCAGCAGGTCGAGGCCCAGCAGGAGCAGCTCCATCAGCAGGTCGGTGTAGTAGATGTAGGAGGATTTATTCTCCCAGCTGCCCTCCTGGTTCACGTCCCACAGGTGAATGGAGTACCTGCACAAACACACAACACAAGCAGCACAGACGCTCCCATGATGCCTCTGTCTGATCCAACAACAGGAAACATGAATCTACAGAATCTCTCACCCACCGAAACATGACGTGTGTCGTCCTGACCGTCGCCAACATACACTGCAACACAGGGGGGGGGGGGCTTCATTCATCAACAGTAACGCAACATTACATTCAGGGTAACTGTGTTAAGTCAAACTGATGAAAAAAAAAAACAATCAAAAAAGTGAATGAGACCGTTTGCAGGTGTCTGAGAACAAATATTCTCTAATGCAGCCTGGAGGTTTATGGATTTAAGGCTTCAAGACAAAACGAGGAAACAAAGCCGTCCTCTCTTTGAGAACTCCTGATCGAAGTTTTCAAAACTTCATTTATGCAGAAGAGGTGAAAACTAGTGATGATGGATGAAGCTTCAGACTCGCCGAGGGCCAGTGACACCTGGTGGTTAGAAAAACATCCAGCAGCTCTTGTGTGTAAATAAAGTCCAAGAATCCAGTTTGTGAGACAGTATTTTATATGTGATCGGAGAATTAACGTCATTTAAGATAAAACTTTTATTACTTTATCACTTGGTAGCAGGTGCAAATGTTTCCATACTCGTGACTTTATGTTTCTCTTGTACATCATGTGAATCACTTTTGCTTTTAGCTGCAGAACAGGAAGCAGAAAGAGCTGAACTGATCCCAGAAGTCTGGAATCACACAGTGATGAAATACAGCTCCTCCTGCCTCCAGTAAAGATTTGAGAAAAACCTTAAATTTAGTTTTACTTCCTTCTCCAACGACGCCTTGAGGAAGAGCCTGTAGGGGTCGAATCCAGTCGGCGTTTTATTCCCTTATTTGGGATCTTTGTTCTGGATTTTTCCTCCGATATGTCCTCAATAAATAAATCCTTGGCTCTGTGTGAGTGTGCCTGAAGTTAACTCTACAGCTTCGTTGAACCTTAAATTTAGATTATCTGCCTCGAAACGTTCTCAGAGTTGACCTGCAGACGGTGCTGAGTGCGTCACCTCTGCAGCCATGAAGGCGGCGGTGTGGCGGCCCTGACTGCGAGCCAGCCGGCTGCAGAGCGTCGCCAGACCGCCGCAGCACAACAGCAGCACCACCAACAGCAGCAGCACCCGCGCATGGCTGGACAGAGGAGTGGCTGGAGAGAAGGACAGCTGGAGGGACACACACACAAACACACAGAGGGAAGACATTCAGTCCCCTGAAAACCAAGAGGGTTCGATCATAAACACTAAACTGATCAGCATTAACAGTTAAAATCAGAACAAGGCTGTTATTTATAATTACAGTGAAGCTCCTTTAACTCTGTCTATGTGACCTGTAGTTCTGGTTTCCCTCTGTCGTTCATTCTTTGTTGTTTTTTCCTGCTGGTGACAAAATGTAAAGATCTGGAAGCTCAGGACGATTCTGGGTGATTTTCTCTGCACCGGCTCCCAGTCTGATAGAGTACTGAACACAAGGTTCAACTTACTGTATGTATATATAAATATATTTCTGAAATGTTCAAGCCAAACCATTACTGGCTTTTTCACCTCGTTCTTTGCTCTTCTTTTGTTTCTGGTAAGCACATTGAATGACCTCTGTTTATGATAATGTGATATACAAATAAACTTGCCTCTGGCGCCACCCTCAGGTCAAACAGCTGATAGATCGGTTAAATGATCATCACTGATTGTTGCTATCTCTACTAGTAAAAGACAATAATCTGTAAGTCTGCATCTTATTTCTTGTGAGACTCCTGTTTCTTCCTCAGAAAGTGAACTTATGACTGTTTGCTGTGAGGGACTGACATGATGCTCTCAGCTGTTGTCTTTCATAGTGAATAAGAATTAACAGCATCACATGGTTTCTTCTTCTCTGACTATGATGGAGCCAGTGGGAAATTAATGTAAACATTGCAATCACCTCTCCACAGTCTCCAATTAATGTCTAAACGCTGTTTCAGAGGCTTCAAATCCTCCGTAATAAAGTAAATACCGTCGTCTATTGTGTATAATTCAGTTGTAAACGTTACATATTCAAAGCGGTCCTTGCAGAGCTGAACCAGGAGATGGAGGAAGACCAGGACGGCGAACCAGAGCCACCACATCACCACCTCCTCCACCGTCTGGACGTTCAGGACGCCGAACACGAAGATGAACTTGTAGAAGATGAAGTTCCAGAATTTGTCCTTCAGTTGCTGCAAGAGGAAAAACAAACAGCAGGTTTCCGTGCGACAGCAAGACTTCAACTGAAGGTGAACTCACTCTTCTCACTTCCACTTTAGATGAAGTTAGGAGCACCGACAACAGGTTTGACTTTAATTCTAATTAGTTACATTTATTTAATCTTTATGATTTCAGTTTACTGAAATATCAGCTTGATTTTTGCATTTTTATTTTTGGTACTTTAGCCTTTAATGACAGTAGATATCAGCATATAAAGACAGAAATGAGTGGACAGTGAGGGCGAAATAAGATCCCCTGCAGGATGTGTTGATTACGTGGTATTCATCTTTACCAGTGGCCGACCAGGACGCTGCAGGCTTTTCATCTGAATTTTACTCAACAACTGGACGACCAGATTTCAAAGTGTCTACATGGATGACCAAAGAAACTCAGAACTAAACGGTTCAGCACACCAATGACATCATGGGACAAATCTGCAGCTATATTTATATTATTAATATAAAACACAAACTGAAACTTCCCACCTGTTTCTCACTGACACGGAGCGGCCCGAACACAACACACTGGATGAGTTTGGCAATCAGCAGCAAGACGCAGCAGGCGGTGTTCACCATCACCTGCACACAGACACAGAATCATATACCAAGGTATAGAAAGGTATCACAGGATGAAAGGATAAAAAATCTAATAAAAGGCAAGAAATTCCGTTTATTGGATTCTACTTTAGGTGTGAAGACATGATTTCTAGAGCAAGACCAAGGACATTTCTAATTCCTCAATGATTTCTAACTGATTGCTGCTGCAACTTAGCTCATATTCTGCTTATTGATTGACTGTTGCTCAGTCCTGATCTGAATTCAATTGGTAGCTATGATTCGTTTTCTTCATTGTCTGGTGATGTGATTATTTTGGTTAATTATTTGGATTGATTGATTTATTGTTTTCTGCCATGTGCAAATATTTTTCATTAAATTATTACCAAATAACTTTCACACTCACTACAACAACAGCATAGGAGGTTAATGTGGTCTTGCCCTTGGTCAGTTTCCATCATACTCTGCAGGTTCAGTGTATTCACTCACCCAAACAAAGACGCTGTCAGTCAGCAGGTACAGCAGGACATCTGCAGCCACATCTCCATACCCTGGACTCAGGTACTGCCCACCGACCCTGATGTAGCGGCCGACCCTGGAGCTGTGGAGTGGGTGGCTGTGGGTCTCCTCCGGGGTGGACTGTGGGCGGGAGTCGGAGGAGCAGACGGTCAGGACGGTCCCGGCCAGCAGGGCGACACTCAGCGCCGTGTAGGTCTGTAAACTGGGCCAGGGGAACCGCTCCAGGAACAAGAAAGGCATGATGGTGGTGCTGAAGTGACGGGAGGATAAACACTGACCGCGGAGATTTATCCTGTTACATAACACTGAAAACGCTTTGTTTACTGTAATTAACGGTCACATAATGGTGTTCACCTTTCTGTCAGTTAAACTGCCCGCGGGTTACAATGCTCGTTATTATATGTGACAGTTTCTTTACTACTTCGTCTCCACTAAGACGTTATTTCCATTAACTCAGCTTTAAACATTCAACGCCAACGTTACATTACAAGTAACGTTAGCTAGCTTGCTAGCCAGCCATCCCAGCACCACTAAACCGTCGCTCATTGTCGTCAGTTGGAGTCCGAAGAGAAGCGGGAACAATTAAAACTTAACAAAAACATCTACTGATTGTTTTTACTCCGCTGTCATGCTTTAAATCTTTAATGAGTCTCGTAAAACAGTAAGAGTCCTGTTAGCTTCGCTCCGCTCGTCACAGCCAGAAGCAACAACATAGAAGACTTCCGGTAGGTGTTTTTTCAGAATAAAACTGCCATTTCCTGCAGACATTTCAAAACTAAGTCCAGGCTTTTTAAAAACATAATTTGCTTTTTCAAGACTCAGCCTTTACAAGTAATACAACAGCACACAACTACAGTGTTTTTTATTTCCGTTTAAGTGTTTTTATTCGTCTTCAGTCTATATTTTATCTGTTGTCTTCTCAAAGAGGGAAGTACTGTTTTTCGCAGCTTTATTGTCAATGAGTGACCGAAGTAGAAATTATGAAAAAAGACCGAAGTTGAAACACAAGAACGGGCATTTGTAGTGTTTTGTTAAAAAGGACATAGCATCGCTGTTTTTTCCGTTACCTTATTATGTTTTTATAAGGTTCCGGTAGGAACCTTTCTCTTTCACAGCTTTATAGAATCAACTTTACATTATTTTTTACCATCTTGTTGCATTTGTTTAATGTATTTTAGTGATTTAAGTATTTTACATCTTTTATTCATATATATTTACAGCTGCGTAGCTTTATTTTTATTTTTTACAATTTAGACTTTCTCCTAGCGGGCGGTAGTGTTTTGGTGGCGGACCTCAGACGCTTCATCTGACACGTGAGCGATGGCTTCACCCACCCAGGAGTCGAACCTGATCGGTGTGGCTGATGGAGAGCTCGACCCAAAGAGGTACCAGTCCTCCTTTCTGATCAACAAAGTGGGGGGGCAGCCGGACTGGTTACCGGTCATCTCCCGGCAATCTCCCCGCTGTGGTCGCTGCGGAGCCCCGTTAGCCCATGTGGCGCAGGTGTATTGCCCCCTGGATGCCTCCCCCTACCACAGGAACCTCCACCTGTTCGCGTGCCTGGGTGCAGAGTGCAGCGGCAGGTCGGAGGGTTGGAGGGTGCTCCGCTCTCAGTGTCTGGAGACCGAGGTGGCGGCATCGCAGACACCCAGCCGACCCGCCCCGCCTCAGGAGGCTCCTCTCTCGGCCACTGACTGGTGTGACACCGCTGATGACTGGGGCATGGAGGAGGAGGGGGATGATGGGTGGGGAGGAGGTGTGAAGAAGGACACCCAGGTAAATGAGGAGGCAGCAGCTCCTGAGGCAGAAGGTAGGGTTGAACTGCATCAATATAGTTTCCAAAATATAAAAGTTTATTGAGAACAGTGGTAGAGAGTTTTGAAATTAAAGCTGCATTAAGATTTATAACCATTAAATGACTTCTAATTACCCTGGTGTTCAATGAGACTGACATCAGCTGCATGATTCTCCATGTCTAAACAGAGACTGTGAAGTACGGAAGAGGATTAGGGCCACATGAGAAAAGAAAAATTTAGAAATCTGACTTTAATCTCACAATTTTGACTTTTTTTCTCATTAAACTCAGAGTCCCAAAAAAATAATATTTTTTTGTTCACATTAGGGCTACGGAAGCCCGGAAACGCAAGTGATTTTTTTTCAGGGGTAAAAAAAAACAAAGTAAAAAAAATAAAAAATTACAAAAATGTAGAAAGAAAATTTGTTTTCATGGAAGTTAAAAAATTCTACCATCAAAATTTTTATTATTTTGGGGAGTGATTTTTTTTGTTTTTTTTTGCCTCCAGAAAAAAAAAATCACTTTTTTCACTTGTCTTAGGGCCACCTGTGAAAATTTTCTTTTCTTAGAATTTTAGAGATGAAACTCAGAAATCTAAAAAGTGAAGTTGCTATGGTAACTGTAACTTTATTTCTCAGCAGGCCGTCCTGTCCTCAGTGAGATGGATGTCAGCAGCAGACTTCAGGACCTCACTTTGGGAGAATCACACGAGGACGTTCCCGTCTTCCGGCCGTTCTTCATCAGCGTGGTGGAGGAGTCGGACCTGTGTGGAGAGGAGGACGACCTGGAGCACGCTCAGGAGCTGCTGAGGGAGTACGAGAGCAGGGAGGGTGCGGTGGGGGTGAGGGTGGGAGAGGTGGACGGCGGCGAGGAGAAGTACGAGAAGACCAGCGCCAGACACGGAGACGCCGTCTTCTCCAGGTTCATGAAGAAGATCTCGCTGTGTCCACAACAGATCCTGCGCTACTGCCACAAGGGGAAACCGCGCTTCATCTCCGAGCCGCCGTCCAACATGGCTCAGGTGGTGACGGCATGCGGCTCCTGTGGAAGACCCCGGACTTTTGAGCTGCAGCTGATGCCGGCTCTGGTCAGTCTGCTGAAGAGGAAGGACGGCGGCGCCGAGGCGGAGCTGGAGTTTGGGACGGTCCTGGTTTACACCTGCGCAAACAGCTGCTGGACGGCGGGATCAGGATCAGCTGTGGAGGAGTTCTGCTTCGTTCAGGGAGACCCGGACCAGCAGCTCTTTAAATGACTGACAGTTGGATCTGATCCTCACTGTGTCGGCCTGAGGTGACCTGCACCTGAACGTCTGGTCTCTACTGACTTCCAGTGGTTTAATATCTCACCTCACTGCAGTGATGTCGGAGTGTACTCCAGGACACTGTGACATCATCGTGGTTACAGGTGAAACAGACCTGAAACTTTAAACCAAAAACATGCTGCAAAACACTTCAGTCTGTTATCAGGTTAATATTAAAGCTGACAGAGTTTACAGAAAAACTGTAGACAAAGATTTCAGATTCAGATTCAGATTCGACACTGAATCTCAGGTTCAGTAGAAGGTGGAGTGTCTGCTGCTGAAAAATAGATTAAAGGTTCATCAGGCTCATTTTGGTCAATCAAAAGTCACAGATCTGATTAAACTGGTTTTCAGCCACTCTTCAGTCCTCCTCAGAAAATGCTGTCGCCAACACTGAGAAGATTTGTGAGGTTTTATAATCTGATTGTCAGTATTTACAGACTCACAGAAAACAGAACTGAACAGCTGAATAAATAAAATGTGAAGAATCCAGATCAGACATTTTAGAGACTCTCTCTTTGGTGATTGGTGGCGTCAGTATTTTTTAAGTCCTGGCTTCGACCTTCTTCTTATAGGAGGACAGTTAAAAATGAGCAGCTGATTAGATTCCAGAGCCATAAATTCATGTTTTAACACTAAATTCAAATGTTGGCTCTGCAGATGATACTTGTTCTTTTCACAAACCAACAGTGGAGAACTTCATTCATTGTGTGAGGATTTACCCTTTAATAACATTCTCAGCTTGTTCCTGCTGCTCAGAAGTTTTCCCTGCTCTGACCTTTGACCTCCCTGCAATGAAACGTCATGAACTGAATGTCACATGAGTGCCTCAAATGTAATGCAGCATTTCCACCAGTAGGAAATGTCGGTTTTCACAGAATAAATTATTTTACGACTCACGCTCATTGTTTAACAAAGTATTTATCAAAACACAGAACAGACTTTTCTTTTCTTTTTACTTCAACCTTGCGATACATTTCTATAAATTCAGTGTCTTAAGCTTCACACCAAAAACAGTTCAGGTTGAACAGCAGTAATGAAATTCAGCGAAGGAAATGTAAACAGAGTAAAACCAAGCTATAAAAAATGTAAATGATCAGCTGAAGGACTTTAGTTTTTAATGGAGTCGATCCAGAGTATCAAAAATAGATTTTTTTAATTAACTGGCCAATAAATAATAACTTTTTTTTTTTTTTTTTGTGCTTCAGCTGCTGTAAAGACGTTTCCTGATTGTTAGATTGAGTCACATTGAAGCTCTACACTTACAGATGATTTACAGCCCTTTTGTTTTATTCTTCATTTCTTCCAATTCGTCATGAAAAGCTAAAAAAAAAACAAAAAAACTCTTTGGTTTGTCAGTGAGGTAAAATTCCTGAGACAGACGAGGAAACAGCAATGTGACGTGATACCCTGATGGGAGGAGCCCTGCGGACTCGTCGAGGCTGCTGATTGGTTTTCAGGCACTTGGAGATCAGTTTGGTGCACTTGGTGCAAACACGGCCTTCCGCTTTATTTTCTTTGTCCAAACAGCAAAACAGAAGAAGAAGAAGAAGAAGCACTGCTGTCTTCTCCTGAGGAAGCAGCGCAGCTACTGAGGGCCTCCCCTGAACGGTGACGCGGCGGCGTCGCCGGACTTGTGCTCCCAGTCGTACTGGTGGTACTGGTCAAACTGGTCGGGCTGGGGGCCGCTGCTCAGACTGCAGATATCTCTGTCAATGATCTCATTCACTGCAACAGAAACACAACCAGGAAACAGAATTACGTCAGTTTTATATTCACCAAAACATTTCAATTAAAAGAAAAAGTTTTAAAAATATATCATTTTTGACTTTTTTAACTAAATTACTGTTTGAATAAACATTTTGGCAGAAAACGTATCTTCCATTAGAGCTTTTAAATCCACATCTGAATTAAACATTTACGCTGCATCACATTATATTCCTGTGCTGGTGTAAATAGAATCTGTGTTGCAGTTCCCTGAAACACCACAGGAGGGAGCAGCTGGACACAAACTACAGCTTGTGGCTTGAATCAGAAAAATCTTTTATTTACCTACAATTTGCTCTGACGCCTAAAGTCTAAATATTTTCCTTAAACAGCTTCATGATTGGTAAGAAAAGATAATGACTAACTAATCCATTAATTACAACAGCCTGGATCCTCATCATTAACCAGGACTTGATGACACAGAGATGACTGTGTTTATTATTATTGGTAGTGGTAGTAAAAGCCGCTCTCTGCCTGGTCTGGGTCTATTTACAGGGCAGCACATGGATCCATCTCCGCTCCATTCAGTCTATTCATAGCAGTGCTGTGAAACCCGAAGCTCAGGAAGCAAAGCACCACACCAACCCTGATAATCATCAGCAGCAGGGCGCTTATTAAACACACACTTCACCTGCATCTGGATACACACCAGCAGCCACTAAATCTGTCACAGTTCATCCTCCAGTCCAGGTGAATGTTCGTGCCGGATGAAATGAAATGTTCCTAATATATCATGTTCATAAGAATTGGACAGATGTGAGGTCAAAGTGGCTTTGACCTTTGACCACCAAAATCTCATCAGTTCATCCTCGAGTCCAAGTGAAGGTCTGTGATGAATAAATCAATCAATCAATCAAATAAAACAATCTGAGGTTGAACTGGTCACAACCTGCAGAGATAAACAACCAAGTCACAAGAAAACCTGTAGCTGAGTGTTAAAGCTCCTCCAGTGTAAAGGTCTGTGTCCATGTGTAGTGTGATTATAGATCAGCTCTAGCTTCTATATTAATACTGTGAAAGTATCAAAGCCTCAGTCCACAGAGAAATGCACACAGCCTGTATTCAGAAACTGAGCCTTAAAACCAGCCGTCAGGACTTCTGGAACTTTGTGATGTCACAACAAAGCAGTCACCAAGCCCCGCCCACCTGGACCCACCATCCAAACCTTGCAGGATTTGGTTTCTCTGAGTGTTTTTACCTGAAATCTGCTATATTTTTATTGGATCACTCAGAAAACAGTCAGCCAATCAGAAGAGAGGCTCAGAGCCTCCTCTCCTCTGATTGGCTCACCGACCTGTTGTTACTAGAGCTCCAGAGAGAAGCCTGAGAGAGGAGATGTAAAACTACACTGAGATGGTTTTTGGTTCTTAAAACCACAAATATATCTTCTTATGGATCAACACTTCAAATAAAAGACAGAAGAAGAGGAAAATATGGAGCTTTAAACCACTAATCAATCACCAAATCCATCAGTAAGCGGCAGCAGCAGCAGTCTGCGGTGGACAGTACAAACATCAGGTACTTGTACTTCACTTGAGCATATTGTGCTTCTTCATGCCTCTTCTCCACCACATTTATCTGACAGCTCTAGTTAGTAATTACTGTCATTTAACGTACAAAACACATGAGCAGCTTATAAAACATGATGAACTAACACAGATAAAAGGCCACACAGGTGTTTTCACCTACAGGATGTGGCTGCTCAGGTTGGAGTTGGCAAAGCTCTACTGAGATTTACGTGATCTCATGAGAGCTCCTGAGAGATTTTACTTTGGATACTTTAAGTAAAGTAATTTTCTACATTGTGGTATTACTACTTTTACATAATTAAAGGATCTTCCACCACTGGCAGTCGTATTAAAGCTGTTGCAGTGTTTTGATCCTGTGTCTTGGTGTGTGCTGAGACTGACATTTGTCCAGCAGCACCACATCGAGCGGCTCACGGTCAAAGTCAAGCTGAAAGATGGGGGCGGCGGGTGGGGGGTGCAGGGTGGAGGGTCAGAGGCCTGACGACAGCTGCTGCCCGCCAACTGAGACACAGCAACAGATTTAACCCCCATCTGCATCATTCAGAGCAGCAACCAGCAGACGCAGCTATTAATAACCCAGATCAGAGAAACACAGTATTCACACACACACACACACACAGCGAGACCAGCAGCCACTCAGCTGCACAGCATAAACACACAGAACAACCAGTCAGTGCTGATCTGGTTCAGAACCAGATCTGGTTCTGGTCCAGATCACAAGTCTGATTAAATATTTTTAGACGTGATTGTTGTTTTTTTTTTTCTCAATGAACCGAAACCACTTCATTGTTGTGAAAAGTTTCCTACTGATCCTCTGACAGACCAACAAAGCCTCTTTGTATGGGGGTCAGGCCAGTCTGGACCAATGGTAGTCCTGCATTCAAAACCTACCAAAGTAAAAGCACAGTATCAGAAAAACGCTGTTGAAGTAAAAGTACTTCCTGTAGATAAAGTATCACAGTAAAAGTACTTACTGTAGTCAGTATCATAGTAAAAGTACTTACTGTAGTTACAGTATCACAGTAAAAGTACTTCCTGTAGTTACAGTACCATTGTAAAAGTACTTCCTGTTGTTAAAGTATCGCAGTAAAAGTATTTCCTGTAGTTACAGTATCACAGTAAAAGTACTTCCTGTAGTACTTCCTGTTGCAAGAGACCAGAGAACAGAGTCTACAGAACAACAGTGGAGGACTGGGTCATGCTGCAGGGTGCGTTTAAGAAACCTGTAAATCTGGACATCTATCATTGTCTGTTGTTCCCTGCCGTGAGTCCAAGCTGACTACAGCTGCTGACCTCCATGAGAAGTCAGCTACAAATCTGTCAGAGCCCCCGTTCAAGCCCACAGGGTGAACTGTTAATGAATGAATACACCCAGCTTCCTACCATCATCCAGTGTGATCTCCTGGAGGCCCAAGGATCCCAGGTTTGGCTGGTCTTCAGGCTCCTGCTTGATACTCAGCACTTCTCCTGGGCTGGAGAGCAGAGAGTCCTTCTGGGGACCAGCGGGGGTCGCGAAGGCTCTACTGGAACTCAGAGATGGAGACTGTTCCCTCTGAGGTCCAACAGGGGAGGTCTGGGGAGGCAGCGAGGAGGTCTGCGTGGGGATGGTAAAGGTTTGAAGGGGGACAGAGGAGGTCTGGGGAGGCAGCGAGGAGGACTGCGGGGGGATCGAGGAGGTCTGCGGGGGGATGGTGAAAGTTTGAAGGGGGACAGAGGAGGCCTGGGGAGGCAGCGAGGAGGTCTGCGGGGGGATGGTGAAGGTTTGAAGGGGGACAGAGGAGGTCTGGGGAGGCAGCGAGGAGGTCTGCGGGGGGATGGTAAAGGTTTGAAGGGGGACAGAGGAGGTCTGGGGAGGCAGCGAGGAGGACTGCGGGGGTATCGAGGAGGTCTGCGTTGGGATGGTGAAGGTTTGAAGGGGGACAGAGGAGGTCTGGGGAGGCAGCGAGGAGGACTGCGGGGGTATCGAGGAGGCCTGCGGGGGGATGGTGAAGGTTTGAAGGGGGACAGGGGAGGCCTGGGGAGGCAGCGAGGAGGACTGCGGGGGTATCGAGGAGGCCTGCGGGGGGATGGTGAAGGTTTGAAGGGGGACAGGGGAGGCCTGGGGAGGCAGCGAGGAGGACTGCGGGGGTATCGAGGAGGCCTGCGGGGGGATGGTGAAGGTTTGAAGGGGGACAGAGGAGGCCTGGGGAGGCAGCGAGGATATCTGAGGGGGGATGGTGAAGGTCTGAGGAGGCATGATGGCAGTCTGAAGAGGAATCAAGGTCTGAAGGGGGACCGAGGAGATCTGAGAAGACATGGAGGAGGAGGCGTGACGCCGGATGGAGGAGCTGTGAGGAAACATCAAGGACGTTTGAAGGGGGACGGAGGAAGGAGGAGGATGATGGAAACAAGGTGCGTTCTGGGAAGGAGGACCACAGTGCACTGGGAGGTCACAGGAATCGTAATAAGACAAATCTGGGCTGAATCCAGGTGGATTGTGGGAGATGTGGTCCAGCTCCCAGCGCTCCTGTTTGACCAGCTGTGCCCCAGCAGCAGGAGGAGGAGGAGGGAGGTGACATCTGACTCCAGGCAGGAAGGTGAAGCTCTGCGTTAGACTCCTTTTCCTCTTCCCGTTTGAGACGTAGAACTGGACTTGGACCGGACCGGATGTCTTCTTATTGTACGGAGGGACCTCCACCACAACGCTGGACTGAAAGACAGAAACACAAGAGACATGGAGAACAGGTTTATTCACCTGTTCCTTGATGCTCCAGATATCTGTATAAAATACACGCAGGACAAAATGTATTCACTGTTTCTGGGACAACAGAAATTCTGGAAGAAGGTTGTCGACGCCATGAACCACGTAACTGGGAAACAAGTTCCTCTTTGAACCATTACCTACAAGTGTAAAGGTCTCTGTCCATGTGTAGTGTGATTATAGATCAGCTCTAGCTTCTATATTAATACTGTGAAAGTATCAAAGCCTCAGTCCACAGAGAAATGCACACAGCCTGTATTCAGAAACTGAGCCTTAAAACCAGCCGTCAGGACTTCTGGAACTTTGTGATGTCACAACAAAGCAGTCACCAAGCCCCGCCCACCTGGACCCACCATCCAAACCTTGCAGGATTTGGTTTCTCTGAGTGTTTTTACCTGAAATCTGCTTTATTTTTATTGGATCACTCAGAAAACAGTCAGCCAATCAGAAGAGAGGCTCAGAGCCTCCTCTCTTCTGATTGGCTCACCGACCTGTTGTTACTAGAGCTCCAGAGAGAAGCCTGAGAGAGGAGATGTAAAACTACACTGAGATAGTTTCTATATCTTCTGATGGATCAACACTTCAAATAAAACACAAAAGAAGAAAATATGGAGCTTTAACATTTCATATATTACTAAAGGTCTTTTATTTGTCTCCTCTGGCAACAAAAGATGATTAAACACCTGAGCTAAAGCTAATTTAGCCTTTAGGTTCTTGCAAACGTCAAAAGGTAAACCTGATGAGATTCAGATTTGTTAAGTGGATTCAACTCTGATTTGAATTCATTAAAACACCAATAAACCCGCAAGAACAGTCTCTAGGTCTCTGGGCATATAGTGAATCTGTCATGTGCTGTAATCTGCTGCGTGCACAGAAAACAACAGATACTGTAAAATATGTGTTTCTCGTGGTTGAATCCAACAGGATGTATTTTGACTGACTTTGTAAAGTTTAGTCTGAACGCCAGCTGTATCAGACCTCAAAGACTGTGGTCTAATGCTGCACATCCTCAGCCATGTTTAAGCCCTGAGTGCTGCATGTGTCAGCAAAATGTTTTCACAAGACTAATGGCAAAAGAGGAACAACACACTCAAACAAAATTCAACGTAAACACACTGATCATTGATCCTGATGTTAAACCAAAGCATCACATTCAAATTCTAGAAAACTGCTTTTATTTATTTAGTGATGACGTGATGAGCGCTGCGTTGTTTCCCTCCCTCAGACAGACAGACAGACACAGACACACACACACACAGACACACACACACACACACACACACACACACACACACACACACACAGTCTAAGACTCTGTGGTTTCAACAAGCTCTCGTGAGTTTCCTCTTTGCGCTTCCTCTTGAGGGAATCCTTCGCCATCTTAAGTGAAGTTCAGAAACTGGAGTGAATTTCTGTGAGATCGACGCTTTGATGCTCTAAAGGCGACGTCTGATCATGAACACACTGTGATCTTTCATTTTCCTCGATGTGCAACAGAACATCAAGTATGTAAGTGAAAAAAAATAAATAAATTGCAATAATCAACTTTTTTACCACTTGGGGGCAAAAAAACTCCACGACGAGCTTTTTAAGATTCACCCTCAATTTCAACCTGGTGCTCAAACTGCTGCCTGTCTACACGTCCAGCAGATACAGCAACATCACCATCCCATCAGCAGTGCTGGAAGAAGTATTCAGGTCCTTTACTTCAGTAAAAATCCCAAGATCACAATGAAAAAATACTCCATTACTCCATTAGTACAAGTCCTGCATTAAAACTCCCGCTGAGGTAAATGTGCAGAAACAGTTCAGACACCTAGTTCAGTTCATTGGTTCCCAACCAACGGGTCGGGCGGTCCTCATGTTTCTCGTTCACAAGAATGTGAGGTCACCGTGACCTTTGACCTTTGACTGCGAACATCTAATCGAGTCCAAGTGAATTTTTGTGCCAAATTTGAAGAAATTCCCTCGAGGCGTCAGCGAGATATCGAGACGGACGGACGAACAACCTGAAAGCGTAACGCCTGCAGTCACTCAAGTGAAGTACAATGACCTTAAATTTGTTCTTTTCTACACAACTTTATTAAAATTATAATTAAATTTATTAAAAATGAAAATGTATTGAGCTACTGTGCGTCAGAGTCGTGGAGTCTGTCTTTCAGCTCTGCTTTGGTCTCCACCAGCGTCTGAGGAAAACATCATTGCTGTAATCAGGTGACACATTTAGAGGATCATTATTATATCCTCTGACCTCCGCTCAAACTTTCAGTGTTTTTACTCTTTACACACATTATCTAGCTGCTTCCAACAACAACAGGAACACAGAGTGAGAAAGTCTGCGGGTGATGGACAGATAACCCGGCGTTTTGCTGACCTACTTTCATTCATGATCAGTATCCTGTCGCTGTGGGAATGACAGGGAGAGATCACGAGAGATGCACCTCAAACTAAATAATTGCAGCCGATTAATATTCTATAAAAGTAATTATTATTTAGCCTTTTTGTTTTTTGCCAAATCAGTCGTTTGGAACCAGTTTTTATGTGAAATCACACATTTTCAATGTTCCTGCTCTCACCTCCCAATTCTGTCACAGGGATCCCTGGACAATCTGTTTTTATCTTGTTAATTTCATCTATAAACAGGGATGTTTTTAAATGTATTTAAAAATATATTTATATATATATATATATATACAGAGATGTTTTTATATATATATAAAAATATATATATATATATATATATATATATATATATATATATGTTTTTAAGAAAATTATGTTTCTACTTACTCCGCTGCTTTTTTCTGACAGAACTCTGGCATCCATTTCCCACAGCGATCTTCCATCTGAGGGATGAAAACAGGGTTTAAACCAGAGACACTTGAACATGAAGAGAATCTGATGTCAACGTATTTTAATGTAAAGGAAGTGAATCTCAGCTGATCTCACCGGGGCCTTTCTCCATGAAAACCACCCTGGACTGTGTGGAGATGTTGGATCCGGAGATGAGCAGCTCCGCTCCTCCGTCCACGGAGCAGCTGGCCGGACTGAAGCTGTCCACATGAGGAAGCTCCTGACCGGAGCGCTGGGCTGAAACACAATGTGAGATTTGTTGTGGTAATTAAATGTAAGTTGGGTTCTACAGACTGCAGCTGCAGCATGTTCATCTCGCAGAGGAAATATTCATTAAGCAGGAACAAAAAAAAAAACTCACTGATTATGATCAGTGTTTATCAACTTTCTGCACAAGCTGTAATATCTCACTTCCCCTCAGTTTCCTTGTCAGCTTGTTCTTTTATAATCTGATTTCGAAATAAAGAAAAACCTTCACGCTGCTCTCTGACTAGTGTTAATACTAGTGGTGGACTTACAACACTCCACAGGAGCAGATGTTGTCTGCAGCCACAGCATCCGGCCATCCGGCTGAGGCACGGCGACCCTGAACACAACACGCACCCTCGTGTTCTTCCGCCCGATGTCCGTCTCTCCTTTCTTCAGCTCGATGTCGGCGTTACGCAGCTTCAAGATGCCGGCGCAGTCGATGCTGTGGAGCACAAAACAAGATGTGCAGTTCAGCTCATCACATTCTCGGCTGCGTTCAAGGGTTTCCTGTAGAGTTTCTGACCACCGGTGGAGCTGCAGAGTGATGTTTTGATGAGTTTTGTTTGTAGCTTGTGCTCTATCAACACTTCCAATAAAACACAGGACAAGTGTAAAATATGGGACCTTTAAGGACAGTTTAGAAATCCTAACTGATATCAGGCTGATTTTAGAGCCTTGAAGGTGCTGTAAGTAAGTTTTCTCTGCAGCCGGATGTGGAGCATGTGACGGTGATAACGGTCGCTCGCCAAGAGCTTCAGCCATCGTTGCTTTAACAATACAACAGGTTATAATACGTCCTCTGAGCAGCAACATCTTCAGGGAAGACTGGACGCTACAGTGACTCGGTATCGGAAAGCTGATCCAGCCGGGCCGGGGCTAGCCGGTTAGCATGCTAACTTCAGTAGAAGAAAAGAAGTGATAGAAACAAAAGCAAAACACGTCAATGCTAATGTTAGCTATGTAGCAATAGCAAGAAAACTTACATACAGCCCCTTTTAAAAATGACCTGATGGTCTGGTGGTGTTTCCTGTTACCTGGCGGACATGTTGTTTTCCGGAAGCAGAGGAATCTCCAGGACTTTGGTGTAACCCATGATCTTCTCCTGGCAGGTGGTGGTGACCGTCTTCCCCGTCACCCGGTGCACCTGGTAGAAGGAATGAGGGCGAAGGTAGCGGTCGTCTGCGGTGCCGATGAACAACAGCAGGCTGACCGGCTGCTCGCTGAATCCGTTCAACTGCAGACACGAGGTCAGACACAAACAGGTGAATAACGGCTGCTCGTCTCAGCTGTTACGTCTCCTAGACTAGACGGATGAGGCATCTTCACGCCATGTGTAAAAATGGAGGATGTTGCAATAAAAAAGATCCAGTGTTAAAGTAAAGTGGGACATCTCAGACAGGATGTGACCAAACTTAAGGTGACACTGATGCACGTTTGACAGCTAATTAATTTAAAGTTAATTTAGGTTGAAATACACCTACCCACTGCTCTAAACCTCACCGATGAACACATTGTATTTAACTTGTTTATACAGCTTCTCAAAAAGTTTAAATATCCGTAAGAATATTTACACGTTAAAACTGTCGTCTCAGCCGTGATATACCAGACGCTACTGCCCATCTTTGACCAAACCCGGAGAGATCAGAGCATCCCGCGCTCCGCACAGGTGGGCGAGTGTGGCTTCGCTTTCCCGCCTTGTAAATACTCAGAACATATTTCACCTTGTTATCAATGTGGATCCCAGAATATGGTTTAAACAGATTAATCATGATTTAATAATATAAAAAGACACAATAAATCAAAATGTAAAACATCTACGAGGGTTTTGTTTTCAACGCTCTAAAACAAAAGGTCCGGTGAAGTCAGGTTTGATCTGCTGTGTTTTGTTTTGTGGATTTCACATAAAAAAATTTAAAAAATCTTCACCCTGCAGCCTCAGTCTGATTTTCAGTTCCTGTGCCGCGGCTCTCAGTCGTCCTTGTCTCGACACTGCGAGTTTTCACACATCTCGCAGAAAGAAGCTCATCTGGCTTCAGCGGCGGCGTGAAAATGCGGCGCCCAGAATAGCTCTGCTGGTGTCCGTTACACACGAGGCCTCGAGGGAGCTTTACTTGTCTCAGCCTGCCTCTGTTCTCTGATCCAGAGGATCCACGGGGGGCCGCTCACCCCCAGCAGCAGCAACACACACACACACACACACACACACACACACACACAGCCGCAGTGATTTTACCCCTGTGTGTCTGAGGAACATTAGGGAGGGACTCTCTCTTTATGTCGTTCATCGTTCGTCGTCATCGTTTATCCAACGGTCATGTCACACTGGAGTTACTTCAACGACAGGTTTCCACAACAAGTCACGTTATAACTGGAAACCCGTGTCACTGAGTATCTGACATGATCATCGCCGTCAAGAGAATTCACGATAACAATATTTGAAAAACAAAAATAATAACATTACCAGTCAAATTCAAATTCAAATTAGACTCAATGCGCAGCGACAAGATGAACTGATAAAGATCCACAAGGTGTCACATCGGTCATTATTAACACGACATCAATATTTAAATATCCCACCTATTGTTATCGTTATCAAACCTCTCCCACAGAACGTATCGCTCCTCTCCTCCGGCAGCTGCACTCGCTTCCTGTTCAACACCGGATCGATTTCAAGATCCTGCTTCACAACCTCGCACCTCCGAGTCTCTCTGATCTACTTCACATCTGCACACACCTGCCCCGCTCTCTGACATCATCCTCTCCCACTGATCTCACTATCGACTCTCTTCCTTCCTTCCAATCCCGCCTGAAGACACACCTCTGCAAACTTTCAATTACATTTATTCTAACTTATTTCGTATGTTACGTCACGTTGGATATTCTCTGTTGCTACTGTATATTTGATTTGTGTTGTGTTCTTGAGTGCTTTGACAGGCGCCTGTAAATAAAATGTATTATTATAATAATTATTAACACAGAGGAGCCTTCGCCAGTGTCGGTTATTCAATGTGATTAAACACAAACTTAATGGATATAATGTTTTGTTGCTGTGACCCTGAATGACCCTGAAGGAGCTGAGAACAGTTTGGTATTTTTTTTTAGCAGCTCAGGAGCGACTTGTAATAAAAGCAGTTTCATCACCATCACAAAATAGTTACTGATTCACTTCCTGTTGATCCCCTTATGAAATAATCAACACACGATTTCAGCACTAACGATGGCATCAGATGGGTTCAGTTAGAGCTCGACCTGGAGACACAACGTGAACATTTAAAGACTTAAGGCCAACGCCACATTTCTTGACATTTAATCTTTCACTTTAATGTTTGTGTTTACCTGATCAATCGTTTGTTTCATCATCATCATTTCCCCCAGAATATTCCATTAAAAGCATCTGACCACAGGATTAAGACTCAAGTCACCAAGCAAAAACATAATCTCATTTTTACACAGTTCACCTGAGGTCAGGGTGAGGTCAGGGTGAGGTCAGGGTGAGGTCAGGGTGAGGTCAGGGTGAGGTCGACCTGAGCGTGGGATTTACCTTCACAACAGGGTGTCCTCCAGCAGCTGATTTGATGGACCCTCTGCTGCCCTCCGTCTCATAATGAGCCCTGTGGTAGGACTTGGGCTGGACCTCCAGCTTCAGCTCACACTGGTCATACTGGCTGGGCAGGGGCCAGTCCAGGGGAGGGGGGGACGAGACCCTGGAGGCAGAAACAACAGACACATAACCATCAGGCACTTCATGACACCAGTCACTTACACTATTCTGAAAGTAGTGGATGTTTCAAGAAAGACGTTTCGGGAAAGATGCTTTATTCGCTTTCAGGTGGTGAGTGAGATGAGAAGACTGAAATCAGACGTTCAGGAAATATGAAGCAGACAGGAAGTTTTAATCACTGTTTTACAGCTACTTCCTGTAGCTCAGCACTAGGCTGAGGTTGAGTACAACCCTGCACCTTCATCACGGCGCTGAGATCAGGGTTTCTAGTTCAGACTCGTGCTTTGGACAGTAGCCATGTTGCTAACGCTCTCGCCTTTTGAAGCCGGCTAAATCTGAAAACCTCTCTGTTTTAACCCTTGGAAACACCCAGCTACACTAAGCCAAGCTAAGCTAACAGACAGAGACTTTAGCGTAGCATCAATCTGACTTTTTTGCCAAAAAGCCAACAAGCTGTTCCTTTAAGAAGTGACATCACAGCCCACCTGAACAGAGGAGGGTTTCCAGGTTTGGGTTTGTTCCAGCTGAAGTGGGAGGGCACCTGCAGGAAGAGCTCAGCCAGGCCGTCCTGGTCACGCCCTTCTTCCACGGGAGAATCCAGGAACGGTTCCAGCCCCGAGTCTCCCTGACCCGAAAGGAGGCCCCCCAGCTGGGTCCCCGACGTCCTCCTGGTCTTGGAGGGGACATCCAGCTCCTGGTAGCCGGACATCAGGAGGGGCCCGAGGACCCCGGCGGGGCTTCCCACCCAGGTGTCGTCTGTCACGCTGCCCCGCGGGGAGGCGCTCGGCGTGGGGCTGGGTGAGTGGTGAGGGGAGGGCGAGCGGGCGTGGGGTTCGGCGCTGGAGTGGCGTCTCTTTCCGCAGGGGGAGGTCGGTCTGGATGACGGCCTGCGAGGAAAGTCAGGATCACAGTTTCTACCTGTTTCTATTACGTTACAGTCAGTTTGTGAAATCTCTGCTGGTGATAGAGACGCAGTAACAGCTGTATTCATATCAATATTAAACATGGTTCCACGTCTCATCTGCACATTCGATCAGTGATCGGTGGTTCCCAACCTGTGGGTCGGGGCTCACTGGTGGGCCGTAAAGGTTTTGCAGGCGGGACGACGAATTATTTACAAAACAGAACAATTTAGGTGAAAATATGTAAATATAAAAAAGAACAAAGTTATATATTATAATAAATAATAAGTGTTTCAAAATGAAATTACTTTTAAAATATATCAATATTAATATATTAAGGCCTATCTGTGTGAAATGATATCGAAACCTCATCTGTACTTGTGATAATATAACGTGGTTTAAAAAACATTAGTGGCAGAAACTGGAGAGTGAAAATGGAAAGGCAACAGGAAGAACTAAAAGGAAAGAGAGTCAAGAGACAGACGGTGGATCGACCAGTGATCTCTCCTCCGTCAAACAACAAAAAGAAGAGAGCGTATTATTTGGCCTCCATATTGTTACGGGGTCAGATGTGAGCCGTGAGTTGGGAACGTTTGGGAACCACAGGTGAAGATGTTGCCATGAGATATATTTCATTTGTTATGAGCTGACAGAATATGGAGTCTTACCCACAGTCCCATGTTTCCACTTTCCCGCTCTTTACCTTGAAGGTTTATTATTGTTTATTTTCTAGCTGTTGTGATGGAACATATTTTGTTTTTCAAAAATAAACAGTTTATTTTTTCTATCGGGTCCTTTTGTTAACTTGGTATCAGACCTGGAGCCTCGGGGCAGGTTGGTCTGTACGTGATCTGTACACAGTTAATAATCATAAACACGTCCATGTGCAAAATATATTCACACATATAATAAAACACAAGGACAGTGACTGTTGAATCCTGGTGTTGTGAGGATTTAAATAATTAACGAGGGCGTCCACACTGTGCCAGCTGTCTGTAAGGTCTGAGACCACAGTCCACTGAAAACTATTTTTATTATTTATTTTCATCATTTCTCCAGACTGTTGCTTCCCCCGACAGCAGTAAGATTTATACCTGCACCGACCTGCGGCTGACCTGAGCCTGTTAGTTGATTAAAGGTTTTAAAAAGCTCTGGTCTCATATCAACAGGTGAGGAGCAGGAGTGATTTAGAGAGAAGCTGTTTGGTTTGTGTCCGTCCAGGTGAGAGAGTACGGCTCCTCAGGTGAGTCCATTGTTCAGGAGCGCAGGACTAAAACCTCTGAGAGCAGCAGGAAGTGTTCCTGTTCAGCCCGGCTTTCAGTTAAATATGGTTCTTAGTCTTTACTCACTTTATTTCATTCACTTATTTTACTGTAATTATGTTGTAAATTGTATTATATTATTCATTTATTCATTTTCTTTTTTTTCTGTTATTATAGCTTTTTAAATCTATTTTATTCCATCTCATTCTCAGCTTTCTCTTGATTTGTCCNTATTCACTTATTTTACTGTAATTATGTTGTAAATTGTATTTTATTATTCATTTATTCATTTTCTTTTTTTTTCTGTTATTATAGCCTTTTAAATCTATTTTATTCCATCTCATTCTCAGCTTTCTCTTGATTTGTCCTTTTTCTTTTGAGCTCATCAGTCTGTGAAGCTCTTTGAACTGCACAAATATAGTTTGATTGATTGATTGATTGATGGACCTGTGCAGGTCAGAAGATGAAAAGCTGCCTCACGTTTGAACCTGGTTCATGTTTGACTTATTTACAGGATTTACAGATGATAACTATTGAAGTTTGGAAGCACAGAGCGGGGCACGGTTATAATCAGTTAAACATTTGGAGGCCATGTTGATTTGTTACCTGGAAGTGGGCCGGCGGTTCAGCCAGCTCTCCTCCGTGACACTGGTGCGAGGGGAGTGGCAGGGCGACTGACGGGGCGACTGGCGAGGAGACTGATGGGGCGACAGCGCCGGGCTGAAGGGTAGAGGATGTTGGTATTTCTGTTGCCATAACTCCACCCCGAAGGCCCCGCCCCCACAGCCCGGCGACCCCAGAGGTGACCCGAGGGGGGAGCCCAGGGCGAGGCGGGCGGCGTCGGACAGCTCCCCCTCGGTGTCGTCGTAGACGTTGGAGAAGGACTCGCAGGAGGAGAGGTCGGACATCCAGCTCCTGGACGACAGGCTGCTGCAGGGGCTCGGGCAGAGCGCCGGGTCCCGGTAGCACGGGTCCAGGGGCAGGAACAGCTGGCCCCTGGACCACACTGCCTCAGCATAGCCCCCCTCTGCCCCGCCCACCGCCAAAGCTCCGTGGCCAGCGCCGGGCTCCACATGGCTGTTCGGAGCTATGGAGGTGATCTGGATACTCGGGCAGTCGAAGGCTCTCGGGTTCCTCTGGGCCCCGTACTGCGGGGGCCCCTGGGGGTGGCAGCCGACATGCTGGTAGCCGTCTGCGGCGGAGAAATACGGCTCCAGGCTGACGGGCTGCCCCGCCACGGCCTGTGTGGAGGAGGGAGGCGTCCTCACATTGAGATCTGGACCTGCGGGGACGAGATGAAGCGGCATGTAAATCAGTGACGTGGGAACATTTGCATTGCAAACACACTTGTGTTTCATTGTCATGTAGCAGAAGTCAGAGCTGCACACAGTTAATGATCATTTATTATCTGGACACAAGCAGCAGAGGAAATAACAACCACCACGTCCTAAAACTGTTTAACACTTTATGAAATAAAACATTTACATTAGTGAAGAGACAATATTTCACAGAGAAAATGTCATATATTTAAAGGTCCCTGTGTTTTATTTTGAAGTGTTGATCCATAAGAAGATATATTTGTGGTTTTAAGAACCAAAAACCATCTCAGTGTAGTTTCACATCTCCTCTCTCAGGCTTCTCTCTGCAGCTCTAGTAACAACAGGTCGGTGAGCCAATCAGAAGAGAGGAGGCTCTGAGCCTCTCTTCTGATTGGCTGACTGTTTTCTGAGTGATCCAATAAAAATAAAGCAGATTTCAGGTAAAAACACTCAGAGAAACCAAATCCTGCAAGGTTTGGATGGTGGGTCCAGGTGGGCGGGGCTTGGTGACTGCTTTGTTGTGACATCACAAAGTTCCAGAAGTCCTGACGGCTGGTTTACTTTTAACTTTACTTTCTTGTAATTAAATAAAACCTGAGTGATTCACTTCCTGGTTTGTTTTGTTTACTTTTGTTCTGTTTTATCCCTGTACTACATGACTGTACTGTGTGTGTATTTGTTATAATTAAAGCCAAATATTCACTGCTTATAATCAAATGCAGATACAAATACACACACACACACACAACACACACAAGCACACACAGCACACAGGATACACGGCAGCAAATGATGCTCTTCAAAGCCTCCGTCACCCTCTCTGTTCTATGTCAGCAGTGTCCTGATGTGCGTCAGATCACCAGGAAGCATCGCTGTCCTGTTTCCCAGCGTCAGAAGGAAAGCATCTTTTTTTCGGCCGTACTTTGACAACTTCTTCTGTTTAGAACCAAAACATTTTTTAGAGTAATCAATTGGTTGATTGACAGCACTGATTTTATCGTTGATTAATTGACTGAAATGATTTATCGATTGTCAAAACAGTTGTCGACTGATTTTCTACACAACACTCCCTGCTCTGCCTGCTGTTATTTAAGGCTTATAATAATAATAATAATAATAATATGTATTTATTATGTTGTCTCTCTACTGACAGTGCTTGTACGGTTAAGTGTTGCTGATGTTAACTGCTCAGCGGATGTACAGTCACGCTGCAGCAGCAGTTAATAGTACAAGCACTGGACTAATTATGGTGACAGATTATCTACAACAGTTCAGTAAGTTCATTCACACAGCTGCAAACCCCCCCCCCCCCCCCACAGTCCCACTATTAATATCCCTCCTTCTGTCTCAGACACACACACACACACACACACACACACACACACACACACACACACACACACACACACACACCTTGCACGCTTCATGCAAAAAAAAGGCGTCAAAGCAGCAACTGCGATTTGCTTCAACAGCTTCACTTGCTGCTTCCTTGCAATAAACCTCATGTGCTGGATGGAGACAAATGAGATGTGATGCAACAGTTGCAACCATCTATCCATTCATCCATCTATCCATCTATCTATCTATCTCTCTATCTATCAATCATCCATCCATCCATCCATCCATCCACAGTAAACAGTAAAAGTAGTAAAAGTACTTCCTGTAGTTACAGTATCACAGTAAAAGTGCTTCATCGTGCAGTAAACTGTCTCCTGTGATTGATCTCTGATCAGATCATAGATCATTGATCCTGAGTCATGTTACTGTTGTAGCTTCTTTAGTCCACTGCGTCTCAACCTGCGGGTCGGGCCCCTCCAAAGGGTCACAGATGGAGAGGACAATGGAAATAATCAATCAAAGTACATGTCCCTCAAACTGGTTTTGAAGTACAATACTTAAAGTAAATACTTATACTTTGCAGCACTGGCTTTAATTTAAGGCTGCAACTAAAATAATATTGATTACTGAAAAATGTGGCAGTTATTGTCAGGATTAACTGATCACTTAGTTTCGTCACACATTAACAGGAGGGTTCAAAACTGTTATGAGCCAAGAAACTGAAAACAACTCTTATTTTTCATTTTTAGAGCCGACACCTGTATGATCAATTTAAGGTGATTGACAATCTACCAATCACTGATTTCATGTTAATATCAGATTTGGCTCCTTCACCCTGTTTATAAAAACCTGCCACATGAGAGACTCTTAAAACCTCCAGCCTCCTGTGAGAGTGTTAATCATGTTATTACCTCAGATGGACTCAGTAATTAAAACCACATATTCCTCTGAGGGATGACTGACTGTAACTGGAACCAGTGTGGCGCCAGAACAACCAGTGGATCAATCAATTACTGCTCAAAGTATTTGATCATTTATCAATCCTTTGATTTTTTTTTAAGTCAAATCACTGGTTCCAACTAAGACTGCAACTAAATTAACACAGTATAATATAATGTATTTGAGAACCCAGAACCATCAAATGTCTTAAATGATTGACAGATTATTAATAGTTTCCATTTAATTTTCTGTTGATGGATCAATTGATTAATCGACTAATCACTAAAGCTCTAATTATTTTCATTATTAATTAATTAGTCAGTTATTTTCTGAATGATAAATCACAGTGTCCTAAAGCCCGAGTCAACATCTTCAAATGTCTTGTTTTGTCCTCAAAGATCTTCAGTTTGTAGTGATGCTCCACAAAGAGCAGAATTTTAACTTGATTAATCACTTAAAAGAAAAACCGATTATCGGGATATTGATTAATTTTCAATCAACCAACCACTTGATTAATCAATTTATTTATTCAACTCTAGTTCCAGTTTTAAGATAAACTAAATATCTTTTGGTTTTTGACTCTTGGTCAGACAAAACAAGCGATTTGGACAAATTATGACAGGAATTTCTCTCTAGGGCCTTGACTTTTTATAGATCAAACAATCGATCAATTAATAGGTGATACGTCATATCATTGTATCACTTTAATATTCCTGCAAGGATTTAAATTTTTAATATAAATAATAAAGTTTCAGTCAATATGAAGCTGGTGGAGAAGGTTTAGTTTAGAGTTTAGTCTCGTATCTGTTCTTTGTGAGTTCAGCATAAAACCAACATTAGCTGAGCAGCAACATGTGCAGCAGCCTCCTGATCAATACTTTAAAACTACAGGCTCCTGATCAATAATGCTGATCAGCTGATCGTCTCTGTAGCTGTCAGCGGAGAAAACTGGGGGATGATTTAGTCTCTTCTAAGATCCACATTGTAAAATCCTGTTCAGTTTAACGGCAGACAGCTGGATGTGTCACATCCACCAAAATAAGACATTGCCACTTCCGGTTAAACATTTTCAAAGTAAAATCCTGTACGTCTGACTATGCAAAAGTGACAATAACTTAGGAAAAGTGGAGGTGCACAATAGAATTAATTTACATGGGAAACGATATTTTGTAGAGCTGCAGTTATTAAATCAAGGAGTAACAAATTTAATATTTGGTTTGGAGCTCTGGGAAACAACATTTTAGTTTAAACATCAAGTGATGAATAAATAAAATCACTGTCAGACTAACAGGCTGTGAAGTGGATATGAAAATAATTATTAGTCACATAGAAGTTAGTTATTATTAGACACATAGAGTCATAAATAAACCTGATAGAGAAAGTAATTGTGGTTTATACAAGCTACATCTGTTTGATGTCATTTATTACAAATCTTAAATACCATTTGTCTTTTTTAACATTTGATGGTCATAAATATTTATAATTACCACTGTCTATTTACACTCATTTTAATGTATCCTATAATAGTGAATTTAGTCTTAATTATAAAAAGGGTTTTTTGTGGAGTTCACCAAGTCAAATTTAAAGCTGTTTAAAACCTTTTTCACACCACGAAGAAGTTAATTAAGACCAAACGTTTAAATACTACTGTAAATATGTATCTATATGCCTGTACTGTTGTATTATTTACATCATTGTTTGTAGTTTTTAATAATTAAGTTGAAAAACACACTTTATATGGAATTGAAATGCCTCCTGATGACGTAATAGAAACTGTTTCCACCAAATCATTTTGAAAGAGCAACAGCCAATAGGAAAAGTCCAACACTCGGCCGACCGATGGTGTAACTTTATCACTCAACTTTATCACTCACTCACTCAGTCACAGACATTCACAGATAACAGTACAAGACAAAAGGTGCAGTGGCAAGAAAATGATTTAAATCCTTTGGAATTATCTGCATTTATTTGTCTTGACATGTCTGATCTCCATCTAAGTTACAATAATGAACAAACACACAAATCTTTGTTTTGTTCTTGTCCACATTGAAAATATCATTCAAACACAGTCGAGGCTGAGCCCCTCGGCTAGTGACGTCAACAAAGGCTAACAAAGTCAGGAGTTATCAAGTTATCAGACCTGGAGTCCAGTCCGTGAAACCAGATGGGAGGTGTGTGTAACCCACATCTAGAAACATCTGCTCACAAGAAACATCTGCTGATGTGAACCACGCCTCACGACAACCATCTCAGAGACGGAGGATCATGAGTTGCTGATTTGCATGAAGCTAAAGGTGTCACAGAGTTTAGATTTTTATCAGTTCTCAGTCACACTAACTGTCTATACATGGAGATGATTCAACTCTGTAGCTGCTCTCCCTGAAAGTGGATGACCCTGAACGTCAGAGTAAATTTCTTTCCAGACTTTATCTCAGTAGAGAATCTGTCTGAGCTGAAGCAGCTCTATAAGAAAGAATGGTCCAAAATCATCCTGAGAGTTGAGCTGTTAATAAATGTGAGGGTTCACTTCCTTTTTCTACCAGCACTTGTTCAATAAAACCACACCCGTTGGCTTAAGTATATTGTGTTTGTCTATATTTGCGACTTAGATAAAGACCAGATCCTGTTTATGACCAATTAATGTAGAAAATCAGGTCATCATTAAGAGTTCACCAACTGTTGCCAACCACTGTACCAGAGGTTGTTGTATGGAAGAGGATTAGGGCCATTTGTGAACTTTTTTTTAAAATTATTATTCTGAGAAAAAGGTCAGAATTCTGACTTTCTAAAAAATATATTTCTTTTCACATTAGGGCCACATGTGGAAAGAAATATTTTCTCAGAATTAAAAAAAAAAAAAAAATCACATGTGGCCCTAATCACTCTTCCATACTGTGTAGAGGTAACAGAAAAGAAAAATAAAACCAATTTTTTTTTAAATTTAAAATTGTAATTTTACAGTAAATGAACCAATTTACAAAATTAAAATATAATTTAATATTTTAACGTATTTGCTGCAGAAATGTTCGTTTGTATTTACTTGAACAACATACGTAATTTGATTAACTTTTGCACTAAACTGCAGAAGATAATGTTTGTCCATTTTTATGCATTGAATTGTGTGTTTTATTTTGAAGACTTAACTTCCGGTATAACTCTCGCTAATTCTCGTTAACTTGGCGGGGGGGTGGGGGGGGGGGGGTTGACAAATCGCTAACTAACGTCGCCAAAACGACACGTACCTGCCGTCTGTCTGCCGTCCTCCTCAAAGATCAGTCTGAAGTCCAGCTCCTCAGCGCAGTTTACTGCGGACATTGAACCGAAAGACTCGGTGAACGTCCTCGGAGGGAGCCGTTACACCGAGCTGTCTGTCTTTAAAACTGACCTGTCTCACTCACTTCCATCCGACTGAAAGCAGAACTCTTGTTTCAACTGAGGCGCCAACAACAACACGTCGACTAATTCCCGACTAAAAGTTGTAAAACCGACATCTACTCGATTATAAAACACTCCTCCGCGCTGTGTAGTAAAAACATAACAGTCCCATATTTGTGCTAAGTTGCTGTGTTCGCGGTTTCTGTTCGGCTGCTGCGAGTTCTACTCTTCTCCAGGTTGATCCTTATGCCGCGTTCATGGCCCCCTCGTAAACTGTAATTACGTATTGAAGCGATGTAAGGAAACTATAAAAAAAAACAACCCGAAATACAATTTAAAACATTTTCTGCTACTTTATTCTCTGCCTACATTTGATTTTAGAGTGAAATAACGCACCTTTAACTCCATTACGATTATCTGAGAGTTTACAGATAAGATTTTACATTAAATAAAATGTATGAGCTTATAAAATATAAAAGTTGAAAAACCTTTTTATCAACAAAAAAGTAGTAGCTTTTTGTCACGTTTTAAAGGTAAGCAAAGATATTTCCACTATAAACTTCTCAAATTATTTCATTTCAAATCATCATAAACAAGCTCAAATTATACTTTTTTTTTTTTTTTACAAAAAACAGCAATCATCCTAAAATCTGAAAACAGATCAGTGAATCATAATTTTGTTTTTTCATCCCTCAGATTTATCTGGTGAACCTATGGAGGGGCTCGACCCTGAGGTTGGGAACCACTGGAAAACTGTCCCACTGTACATAAAGTAGTTAAAACAGTAAAGTGCTGCTGAAGCATCAATGACTCAGGATTAATGTAATAATATCATGTATAACACTATATTAGTCACAGAGGCCACTTCTCTACTACTACTACTATTACTTTTATTACTCGGAGTACATTTTGCTGAGAGTACTTGTGTATATATGCAGGACTTTTACTTGTACTGCAGTATTATTATATAGTGGTGTTAGTGTTTTTACTCATGAATAGCACCTGAACACATCTTTCACCACTGGTTTTACATATATCTGCTGTAGTTTGTAAATTATAAATCAGCACCCAAGCTCTTTGTGTTAAAGCTGCAGATCTATGTGTTTAGGTGTCATTTCAGACACTGTCAAAACTGAACTTTAAAATAATTTCACATTCAGTTTTCCTAAAATATTCTTAATTTATCGAATTGATATTTTTTTATTTCTAAAAGAGTTAGTTAGCTCTTATTACTAACAATAACAGACAGTGGAAGTGGATATGTGTTTTTGTTTTTTTCCTTTTTATATTTATTTGTGAATATCTGTGTTTTAACTCTACATTTTCCTTGATACTATGTGTGTATGGTGCATTTATGTTAACAATTAACATTATTACATGAACACTCAGTACTAAGCACTCATGGGTCAGACTACCCCCGTCTTCAAAGCCTTCATTTTAATGTCAACGCCACACCTGTGAAGTGCAGCGACCGTATCTTGCAGACTGTGACGTTACTGTGGTGATGAAGGTGTTGACAAACAGACGGACGTGTAAACACCTATCACAGTTCTCAAAACCACGTCTGTGCTAACCGCTTCAGTGAGTTTCTGCAGGACTACATTTTCCCATCATCATCACACACACACACACACACACAATGAAAATAACACCACACTGTTGCCGCTGGTAAAAATGCCTGTTGTAATTTCCCACAGCTCAAGGAAACATCTTCCTTTGTCTTGTTTTGTCCAACCTTTACATTTAAGCAAAAATAAAGCAGGAGACACAAACTGTGAGAACACAGATAAAGGAAATAATAAAAGTTAATATAATGATTCAATTTATAATTTCTTCATCATTTAAAGACAGAATAAGGAAATAGGATTATTGTTTTTTTTAATATTAAATTTTTTTTACGTAATTATTGTGCTGTCAGACTCAAGACTCTGTACATTTGTAGATGTTCATGATGTAGTATTCTAGTTTTAATTAGTTATTTCTTGCATCTACACTGAGTACGTTTGTTATTTCTTTTGCCGCTTACACACTTTAGTTTATCTCATATATCGCTGGTCGACAGGTGAACTTTGCTTTGTTTGGTTTGCATTGAGACGTGTAGAAAGATTACAAAAATTATAATTAGAAACCAATCACTAACTCAAAAATTGGTCTCCACAGTGTGCAACAGCATTTACTTTATTTTTATTCTCTTTGAGATTTCAAAAATTGCATTTAACATACGGTTTCACACAGTAGTGTAGTACAACTGTATTGTGAATGCTGTATTTCCCACTGACCATGAAGGCACCATTAGCCAGCCCGGTGATGACGTCAGTCGGCGGGTGTCTCCATCTCTCAGGTTCAGTTCAGGACTTTAAGACTTATTAAACCTAAAACTAAGGACAAGCCCGGTGATGATTATTCATCCTTTAATCAGCTGCTACACTGGAAACTGTTTCTCACGATGAAGGAACGTGTCACTTGAACGCATCAGTTCAGCTGCTCTGTGAGTTTTTAATAGTTCGTGGTGATGAATCAGCTCCACTGACTGTATCTGTTCATGGATGAACCCACTGATAGTTTCAGTCTTTGCATTAAATTTGTGTAAAATATAAAATAAAATAAATCCTACACCGTCTGTAGGATCTGGAAGAATAAAGCAAACAAATAAAAAAACAGAGGAGGATGAAATGAACATTATAGAAACATTTGGCGCCATAAATCTACTGAAGTCAACGGTGATGACGACATATAAAGTTTAACTCATTTAATCCAACATCAGCCTCTTCAGCAGAGACACAATCAGGACACAAATGATGAGTTTAAGGCCCATCCAAAAATCAGAATAAAAAAAAAACAAAACAAAGTAAAGTTCCTCTGTAAGGCACCAGGGTTAAAAACCAAACATGTTTTTCTGAAACATCTGAGGATGACATCTTTAATCTGAGAGTGCAGCGCTGCCCCCTGCTGGCTGCGAGTCCACATCACCACCTCTGCTGCTTCAGACACACATTTCATGACACTAAAAATAAAAATGTTTTTGAAGTTTTAAAATGAAAATCAGGAGAGGTGAACGGTGCCGACTCTCTCCCAGCGGATCCAGTGGAAGACTGTGTTTGTACTGGGCAGATCCCAGTTTGAACAGAACGACAGTTTTAAACGAAAGACGTGTGAAGGCAGAAGCGAGCAGCGGATTATCTGAATGTAGTGTTCATATTTACGGTCGAAAACGAACGCGTCGTTATCTCTACGGCTGCTCTGGGGGTTTACGATGGTCGCCGTTGGCAACCACAGGGGACTCTGAGGTTTCCTGTCGGATTTCAGCTACGTGTCGTTTCTTGCTGCTCTCTTCTTCTGTGGTGGCGCCGTTCGCCTTCCCCTCCCTCTTCCTCTTGCAGACCAGGCCGGAGTCTTCCTCGCCGATCCGACCCTCCGGTATCCCCAGAACTCGCAGGCAGACGATGGCGGCCGCTTGCTCGGCGAATTTCTTCGACTTCTCCCTGGAAACGAGAAGATGAATAAACATGTCGGTCGTCAACAATAACAACGCTGCCAGTAAAACAGCTCAGTTTTCATTCCTTAGATTTAGGAAATATAAATATAAACCGTTTTTGCCTGAATAAAATAGAGTCTAAAACAGATTAAAGTGACATTTAAATCAGGAACGATCTTTTTAAAGCTCCATGTTTCTTCTTCTGTGTTTTATTTGAAGTGTTGATCCATCAGAAGATATAAAAACCATCTCAGTGTAGTTTTACATCTCCTCTCTCAGGCTTCTCTCTGGAGCTCTAGTAACAACAGGTCGGTGAGCCAATCAGAAGAGAGGAGGCTCTGAGCCTCTCTTCTGATTGGCTGACTGTTTTCTGAGTGATCCAATAAAAATATAGCAGATTTCAGGTAAAAACACTCAGAGAAACCAAATCCTGCAAGGTTTGGATGGTGGGTCCAGATGGGCGGGGCTTGGGGCGAGTTAATTGTGTCTTATAATTACCAGAATACTGATGCTAACGAGCTTCAGACTGATGTAGGAGTGTGTGTGTGTGTGTGTGTGTGTGTGTGTGTGTGTGTGTGTGTGTGTGTGTGTGTACTGACCACAGTGAAGGTCTGTAGCTCTTGTCAGCTACAGTCACAGTCGACTGGAAGGCTCGATCCTGAGAGCGCTGCACCTGAAAACACAACACACACACACACACACACACACACACACACACACACACACACAGTTCACACCTTCAACACAAACTGCAGCTCCTCTAATGACCAGTGATGTTTTGTCAGACCTTTAATTTGGGCTCCAGCTGCTGATTTACCAACATGTTGTTCTAACAATTAAACGAGAGTGTTTCCATGACAACAGCCTCTCAAAGACACAGTACAGTCTGGACCTTCGTACCGTCTCGTACAGCGGCTGCTCCAGTTTCTCTCTGCGGCTCCACTCCAGCAGGAACATCTTAGGAGTGATCTGAGGTGGGTACTCCCTCCTGACAACACACACACACACACACACACACACACACACACACACACACACACACACACACACACACACACACACACACAAAACAAGAAAAACAATCAGATTCTGTTGTTGAATAAATCAGACAACATGTGTATCCAGATGTTGTTCCAACGCTGTGATAAACTGACCGTTCAAACCTGACCGCCATGGTGGTGACGTCCCCGTCCAGGACGGGCCTGTCGGGCTGGCTGCTGCTCTGCAGGGCGTCCCTCCTGGCCTGCAGCTGCTCCTGGGTCAGCTGATAGAACGCCTGCAGCCCGTACGCGTCGCTGCAACACAACGCCGCGGTCACATGACATCAGCACCTCACCGACACCTGACACTCTCTTATCAGACACCTGAGCAAGTCCCGTACCTGATCTCGGCGTTGGTCTGAGCCGCCTGCACCTGCTTCCCCAGAGGAGACTCCACCTTGTCTCGGAGCATCTGACACAGACAGTACTTTGTGTTGAAGGCGTGGTTCTCGTACCGGATCGCCTGAGGAACAGAAACACAGTCAGTCCCGTGTCCGGATGTTACTCCAGATGTTACTCCAGATGTTACAGCTGGAAACGTCAACAGACTGACGCATCTTGAGTAGAACAGTCAGGACGCAGATATTATCCCCAAACTCACGACTTCTTACAACTGGATTTAAGAAACAACGTGTTGATATTTTTAAAAGCAAACGCAGCAGCTTCTTTTCAGTCCGGCTGTCAATAGAATATTATTTATCTTTCTATTTATTTATGCATTTT